CCCCGGTGAATCCTCTTGGCTGCTGTTGCTTCATTACTCCCCGTGGCTGTTGATGGGGATAAGGTTAATGGGATGGAGATACAGATAGAGAATTGCCTCTTCATTTTCCTTTTGATCTGGGGTTTCATTGGATTCAATTGAAGGATATAGCATGATGCCAGACTGCCTCAGCTCCTTATTCTTAAAATCTTTTATCACTGAATTAATGAAATACCATCTCACTTCTAACCTCTGCAAACAGCAGTAGTCTTTGGGGGCATGATCCTGGCTCGTTTTCAAAGTCAGTCCAACCTATACATTGAGTGAAATGCAGATCACATAAAAAAACTATGTAGTCATGATTTTTTTAGCACACCTTCTGTGATGTGTTTTGGATGGCTGTGTTGCTGGAGAAAACAGCTTTTTGAGAGAGAAACTCCTTTCATCCTACTTTTATACATGGAGGAAAATTGCTTGGGTCTGAACGTGATCCCTGTGGAAAACAGTGTCTGTTTTAACATGACACAACTTGTGCTTTTCCGTTCTTTTCCCAAGCAAAGAAGCCATCTGTGCTTCTCCTGCCTCGCAGTCTTGCTGTGTTAGTGCAGGTGTCTGCTCTGTTCCTACCTTATTATTTTGGGCTTGGTCCTGTGCCTGTTCGTGCCCAGCACGGCCCATGCTGTTAAACCCTGCTGCTCCTGAGCTCTGCGTGGGTCTGTCCTGTTGGGAGGGTTTATTCGCACTGAATAATCCACCCTGTGGTTATTATTATTATTATCATCTCTCCAGAAGAGACTCGACCGCGTTCTGTTAATAAACCAAGATGTTCAGAGCCCCCTTAGCTAAATTACTGGTGCTGGGATTTTCTGCCATCCTCCTGTCTCTGCTTGTCTCGCTGAAAATGGGGCAGGGAGGAGGGGTGCTCGTTGGGATGTTTTTACTCTTGAAAAGTAGAAGCTATTCTTCATAGTCAGGGATTGCTGTACAGGTTTGCCCGTTGTCCACTCTGTTGCACGAGAGGCCATTTTTAAATTAGTTTTTATGCAGTTCTTGTCATAGCTCAAAGCCAGAGGGCTTTCATTCTAAATGTCTTTTTATTGCTATTTTATTTTAAGATTCTTAGATAAATGTAAGTTATAATGTAATAGATAGGTCAGTATTTTGCCCATGTAAATGAGCTTCCCAGCCAAATCCACAACGGTACTTCTTGTTTAGAATGTGGGGGATTGACATTTTATTCTCAGTTTATTTGTGGTGGGCTTGTTAGGTTTTTCCTGTGCCAAGGCATTTACTTCTGGATTAGGCAAGTGGCACGATCCCTCAGGACAGTAACTTGAGCATAGAAAGTGAGGCTTTCACATGAGAAGAGACATCTTGATTGATTAGTGGTGGGTTTTTTATTATTATTCCAATTTAAACACAGTAACCATAGCTTCTGTTCTTCTCAGGTTCATTTACGGAAGGTAACATCGAGGGGTAGTGTCCTTTTGGTCTTTTTTATAGGAGGAAACAAACCCTTTTTTCCTGTACTTTGTATACTGTCGTCCTGTGTCTCTTTCTGTGCTCTCTAGGTGGGAAACCACGGTGCACGTGTTTGAACGTGTGCTGGGGAAGAAATTCGGTGAAGAAAGAACACTTCGCTTTCTAATTAATTGTTCTTTCCAGTGTTTTCCTCTTGCTTTGTTATTTGGCTCCTTGGGGTATTGCAGGTTTCATTCCGTATAATCTGACTGATGAAAAAGTTTTGGGAACTTTTCCCATTGTTTCAGAGTGTGGTTGTATCTCAAAACGCTGTGGTTCCTGTGGTTACAAGGAACCTCATGCACTGGTACAAAGAAATAATTATTATAGAAAGCTATGCCAGTTCTTTTACTGGCTTTGGCATATCACTTAACTTGGCTTTTGTAAAAATCAGCTGATACTCATTTTATGGATTTCCATTACTGCCACATAGTAAAAACAGTGCTCTTTTTTTCATATCCATATCTAATGTTTCTCTTCTGCAGATTAAAGTTTGAGAAGACAAGAATCCTTTGCATTTCTTTCTCTTAATTTAAGAGCTCAGATTTCAGTGAGCTGGTTCTTTCTGCTACTTTAGTGTACGAAACCGTAAACCAGAACTTTTGTAGGCGAAGGCAACAGTGCATTTGGGATATGCGATAAAATCTGCCATAAAGCAGTGCAGGGTTGTATTAAAGGTTGAACTTACATGTGCTGACCTGACCTCATACCTGTAGCGTGTTTTTATCTTTCTCTGTTCTCCCGTCTTTCCAAGCAGTTATGGAAAGGGACATTTCAATAAGACATGAGGTTGATTTAGATCAGTTTATTTCTTTTGCTTAGTCAAAGCTTTGTTTTTCTTTTCTGATCGCTAATTTAAAAGGTAAAGCGCAGATTTCACAGAATCACAGAATCCCAGAACGTTCGGGATTGGAAGGGACCTCAAAAGCTCATCCAGTCCAATCCCCCTGCCGGAGCAGAAACACCCAGATGAGGTTACACAGGAAGGCGTCCAGGCGGGTTTTGAATGTCTGCAGAGGAGACTCCACAACCTCTCTGGGCAGCCTGGGCCAGTGCTCTGTCACCCTCACTGAGAAGAAGTTTCTTCTCCAATTGAAGTGGAACCTCCTGTGTTCCAGTTTGTGTCCATTACCCCTTGTCCTATCATTGTTTGTCACCGAGAAGAGCCTGGCTCCATCCTTGTGACACTCACCCTTTAAATATTTATAACCATGAATGAGGTCTCCCCTCAGTCTCCTCTTCTGCAAACTAAAGAGCCCCAGCTCCCTCAGCTGCTCCTCATAAGGGAGATGCTCCACTCCCTTGATCATCTTTGTAGCCCTACGCTGGACTCTCTCCAGCAGTTCCCTGTCCTTCTTGAACTGAGGGGCCCAGAACTGGACACAATATTCCAGATGCGGTCTCACCAGGGATTTATAGGTTTATAGATTTATAGATTTTTGACTCCCAGAATGCTATTGAATTAATCTGACATGTTACTTTAATTAATTTGAAAGATTTTAAATGACGTTGCTTATGAAATCCTAGATGTTCTCTCCTATTGCTCTGTTTAAGTAGGCTTTTGTGCTTTGCTCATCGCTGTGGTACATGAAGCTAACGGAACATTAATTTACTTTGCAAAAGAAAGTGACCCTTTTTTTTACAAAAGAAAAATTAATGCTGGCACTAATAACTATGTGGGACAGTCCAAAACCTTGTGGAGATACATTACTTTGATTATCCTTTCATTTTGGTGTAATTAAATAATTATAAGTTACAGACCCAGCTCACAGCTAATTAAATTTTGGACTATTTGATACATTTAGTGAACAGGATTAATTTAGGCAGGGTAAAGACTATAAATTTTAATCTAAGAAGTCTGCTGTTTAGAAAAAATTGATAGTAATTTAACTGAATCCAAACAATTTGTTAAGCATGCAGCATTCCCAGGCAATAATTTATGTTTGAACTTAGAGAAATGAAGTCAGCAAACTTGTGGAAAGTTTCACATCCAACTTGAAGCCAGAATGCAACTGAGCATTCGTTTTTGTTGCTGGATTTTGAGATTTCTCTTTGATTAATGAAGCATGGCCTAGGGTGTTGCTTCTCACCCTGTCTTTGCACCCACGACAACACCATATTAAACCCTTATGAATGTTGGCGTGGTGATATTTCCTCAGTGCTGATCATTGCGTGCCAGCTCTGGCTCTTGGAGACCTTTCTTGGGTCTCTCTCTGCACAGTAAGCAGCTCAGTAGGTAGCTTTGCACTTCAATTTTAATGAATAATCAAGTGCTAGGGGTTTTATTCCTGACCTGATTTGGTTGATGGACTTGCCACTTGTTTTGACCCGTTGAAAATTGAATTATGGAATTGCCAACCTGACCAAGTAGCCTGTGTGGTACAAGGCTGTGAGACTTGGCCGCTTATTTCTTGTTAGAATGAAAAAATCTTCTAAGAACACAAACCCAAAATCCAACACAAACACTTTCAGTACCAAAAAGTCCTTCTGTAATCACTATTGAATTGCTCCTGGGCTCTTTTGTCATTGTTCTTTTAAACAACATTGGTATATCAAATGTGAATGTAAATATTATGTTGTAAATTAAGAAAGGGAGGAAAAAAATAGCAGCATGGAAATGGAGCTGGCTGCTCGCTTTGAGAGAGTGTGAGAACACTCCAGCTCCAGAGGTGCATTAATCTAATCAAGATGCTCGGATGGAGAATTTTGACAGAGTGAAATAGTGGCTTATTCTGCACGCTTGGAAGCTTCCAGTGCTTGCTTAGATGGCAAGACACGGGATGAGCTGAACCGTGAACCTGAACCAACATTGTGACTGCAAATACTATTCACTTCAATATTTTTTCTTAATCTCTAATGTTTTGCCTTCTTTTTTTGATAAAATACAAGACGTTAAATGTAGCTTTGAATTAGTTTCCGTGTTTATGTTTAGAGGTATTCAGGTGCGGGTAAATAATTGTCCTTCCACAGATCGTTGTTATCTTGATGCTTATTGCAGCCTAAGTGGTTGAAGTTGGAGGCAGGCAGCTCTGGTGGTCCTGCTCCCTGCTGTCAGGGGAGGATGCTTTCCTTCACCGCCTTGCTGAGTGCTTGCCTGCACTTAGTTTTAACTCTGAAAATCATCAGAGTACAGCTAAGAAACTGTGCAAGGGTGTTGTTCATCTTCTTGACGTAGGGGTTTTTTTCCCCATCGAGGTGAGTGTCCTCTTAGGATACCTCTGAGACAGAAGGTACCAACGTAGGGGAGCTGGAGCCCAAGTAGCTCAGGACATTGTGGACAGGCCGTGGTGGAACGTGGTGTTAAACACAAGCCCTGAAATGCTTTAAATATTCCATTTTTACACTGCGGGTTATTTTTGTGGTATGATACCGAGTGTGCTTTCGGTTGGCTTGGCAGTAACTGCTCTGTTCATCTCAGAGGTGCTGTTGTCCTCGTTGAAGTCCCACTCGCTGAACGTGGCACTGAGAGACAGTGGGTGTCTTATTTTTCTCAAATTGGGAAAATACTTCCAGTTCCTACAGAAAGAAAAGTCCTGAAGCACATATTGTGTTAAAACCAAGGTATTTCACTTTGAAAACTGCAGCATTTGCTTGTACTCAGCAGAAATGTCCAAGGTAGTACTTGGTGTCTGTTGCCGTGCTTAGGTGTTTGCTATCACAGCAAAAGTGAGGTGGCACATCCTTAAATTGTCCTTAGTCCCTGTGGCTGTCAGCTGTGTTTCCTTCAGACCTGAGGAGTCAGCACAATCTTAACAGCAAGTTTTCCTAAGCTGCCGGTTGCCTGTGGGTGAGGTATGACAGTGTCTGTGCTGTTGTCATATCAGCACGATTCTTCTCAGATCAAGCTGTTTTCCAGAATTCTGGGAACAATACTTAAAATTCATTCTCAACCTCAAAAGTTATGCACAATTTATATTCTGTGCACCACGTTTTCTTTGAGACTTACCTCTTTATCCCACAGTAAATTTGGAAGTCTTGGTGGTATAGATTTAAACAACGCCTGCTTCTCCACTTACATGAAAATCTTCATTTCCTTTTAACAGATAAACAATCAGATATTGTATGGAAGAAGTCATCAGAATGCTTCTGCAATCATTAAGACTGCCCCATCAAAGGTCAAGCTGGTTTTCATACGGTAAGCGCAGTTCTCATCAAAACATCTGTTTGCGCTTTAGCCCATTACGTTATTTACATATTTAGCTTGTTTTGAAATTGCTGAATTTGCTGAGTTCTCTTTGAAGTGAAATAAAGCTTTTCCTTGACTATTCTTCTCAGGATAGTTGGTGAATTCTCCTTAATAATGTGGAAAAAATAAAATAAATAAATAAATAAATAAAGGCACACACACCCCCCACACACCCACACACATATACGTATACACACACACACACATATATATATACACGCACACATACACACACATATGTATATACACACACATATACATATATACATGTGCTTTAATGTATTGGACTTTCATAAATTCATCTATTCCAGCTGTGACTTCCATTGGCATTTATCCCCATGCCATTTTCTGATGCAGTCTTCCCACCAGCACATACATCATACTTGATACTGTTCTATATTCTTCGCTCATACACAGCTTTCCTGTGAACAATGTAATAATGTGTGGGTGAATGCATGTAAATGTGTACACTTACTCGCATGGCTCTGACTGGTACAGCCTACACAGCGATGATGGAGGAGCAGCATTAGCGCGGTGAAGAATGAGTTGCTGTACTTGGCAGCGCAGAGGATCTGGAGGAGATTAATGGTCTTGCCTGCAGCTCCCGTGTTACTTTCCCCAGCTATTGAAAGTTAAACGTCATGTCCGACAGCTCACTCACCATTACTTAATTGCATGTGGAAAATGTGTCTGGTTGGAAGCTCCAGAGGCAGAATCACAGCTTATGAAACCAGAACCCGGGGCTGGGTTTCGTGCTGTCGGGCAGCACAGAGAGCATGGGCTTCTTGCAGCCTGCCCTGCTGCTCCTGTCACCGCAGCTCCAGTTGCCCGTGCATTGGAAATCCTTGGTGCATATTTTGTATCATGTTTAAGACATACAGGCCACATAAGTTCTTAGCCATAATTCACCTTTTTGGATTGTCTGTGTCGAAGTGGATTTGAAGGCAATGATCACAATTAGTAGATATTGGAAATACCATTAAATAAATCTTGTCTCTAGAAATTTTTAAAAAATAAGTTTCCCTTTTTAAATGCTGCTGCTGAGGTTGTAAACTTCACAGAATCACAGAATCACAGAACGTTAGGGATTGGAAGGGCCCTCCAAAGCTCATCCAGTCCAATCCCCCTGCCGGAGCAGGAACACCCAGATGAGGTTACACAGGAAGGCGTCCAGGCGGGTTTTGAATGTCTGCAGAGAAGGAGACTCCACAGCCTCTCTGGGCCGCCCGGTCCAGTGCTCTGTCACCCTCACTGAGAAGAAGTTTCTTCTCCAATTTCAGTGGAACCTCCTGTGTTCCAGCTTGTGCCCATTACCTCTTGTCCTATCATTGTTTGTCACCGAGAAGAGCCTGGCTCCATCCTTGTGACACTCACCCTTTAAATATTTATAACCATGAATGAGGTCTCCCCTCAGTCTCCTCTTCTGCAAACTAAAGAGCCCCAGCTCCCTCAGCCGCTCCTCATAAGGGAGATGCTCCCCAGAACTGGACACAATATTCCAGATGCAGTCTCACCAGGGCAGAGCAGAGGGGGAGGAGAACCTCTCTCGACCTACTAACCACCCCCCTCCTGATACACCCCAGGATGGCATTGGCCTTCTTGGCCACAAGGGCACAGGTGCTTATATCTCTACACTTCAAAAGAGCCCACAAGAGCACTTCCCAAGTCACTGCTCTTGGCCTTGCAGTAGAGTGCACTGACAGCTGATGGGTCTGCACGCTTGACCCGAGCAGCAATGAAAAGAAATTCTCCCAGTGAGAGAATGTTGTTAGTAACGAGAGCACCGGCTCTAACGCAGGGAGAAAACTGTCATCTTTTATTTGATGTGTGGTCAGCTTCTCATAGCAGGAGGGGTGTTTCAAAATTTTAGCGAACCCAAATTCAACTATCCCTCTAAAAGGTGAATTTTAAGGAGAAATGAGACTAATTTTCTCTTCTCATGCAAACTGTATTCCATGAGCCCATTCTGTCTTGGTGCTTCCCATTCCCACTCCTTATACCATAAAACCAGTGCATGTGATTGACTGAAAACATGAACCAGGTGACTGCGCCAGTCCCAGAAGTCGTGTCTGCTGTGAGTTTGATAGAAAATGTGGTTTTTTTCTTGCTTTTATCAACTCATTTAAAACTATAATATAAAATGGGGGTATTGAAATGCCACCACTTAATGCGTTGCGGTGCCAGCTGTAGTAAATGCGAGCAGCAGCAGGCAACTTGAATCTCCATCCGTCTCTCATGCGTGTGTGTGCAATGGCTTTTCCAGCTGAGAACAAAGCACTGAGTGTAGCAGACTCGGCTCTGCTGGTAGGTTTGCTGCTTGGCTGATTTCGGATACGTTCCTCTGGGCTCTAATGATGTGGAAAGTGCAGGATACCGTTACATTCGTGAGGCTTTGGAAACGAGGAGCTGGTTGCAGCAGAAACGCTGCTTTTCTCCTCCTGAGTGACTGCTTTTAAAGGTAGAAGGCACAGAGCGTAACGCAGCCAAAATGCTGGAGCACGTGGTAAGAAGAGGCCACAGCTCACCGCAGCAAAATAATGTGTGCTGCAGGAATTACGAGAGAAGTGGACTTAGTCTTCACGTGCATGAAGATATTAATATCCTGATTTCACCAGTGAAAGTCCTGAGTAGGTTATAGTTTTCCAGAAACACATCATTCTGCAGCCTAAGAAGTCCCTGCCTGCCTAAATGAGCTGACTTAGGACTTAAAAGCAAAACTGGTGGCACTCTTGGACTGCCTCTGCTGCTGAAGTGCCCTCCTTGATATCCTGAGGTCTTGTTTTCCTCAGATGAAGGATGCTCGTGATAAGCATGCTGCTTTTCACCTTGAAGCAGGAAACAGCATCAGTGTTTTCCTATTTCTGGTGTTTTGGTTCACGTGCAGGGCAGGGGGATGTTTCCATAAACTCTTTAATCAGTTACGAGGGAAGCCCAGACATTCCTGGGCACAGAAAAGCCTTTCTTTGAGAGCTGTATTATCTGTCGTTAAATACCTTGGGAGTTTTTTGGGCCCAAATTTATTCTTTCTAGGAAAAAATAAAGACTAGAAATTGTCCTAGACTAGAAAGTCCTTCTGACTTTTTACTAAAATCTCAACTTGCCATCTGCGCTATAAAAATCTGTTCACACTTTTTTTTCATACCCAGGTAGTGTTACAATTGCGTTCCCACCCTTTCCTGCAATTTTTTGCTGATGAGACATAGTGCAGTAAGTGCCTTGAGAATCAGAGACTTCCCTTGTATGTGAAGGTTTCTCACTCTGGTTTATGAGCATCTTTTCCTCAATTAAGTTGACGATGATTATTTAAAACAGTTGCTTTTGGCCAGATTCCAAAATCTAGGTCTTAACACAGGCACTGTTTCCCAGTGGTCTCATTAATTACATGAGCTTGTAATAGCATCTAAAAGATTTGCAGTTAAAGTGTCGCTTCAGTTTTTTTTTTGTTTTTAAAGATTCAGTGCATCTTGTGCTTTGTAGCGTTCTAGGGTAACAAAGTTGAAGGTGTTTAACCTGCTCACCCCGTTTAACAAACAAACACACCAATTGCCCAAGCACGGCAAGGTTTTCCTGAGATTTAACTTGGTCCAAGTGCATCCTTCGATTGGCATCCGGTCACGTTTGACCTGACCTCAAAGTCTTACAGCTGCTGCATTAACTTCCAAGTTAACCCCAAATACGGGTTTTATCTTCGATTTCTGAGTAGGAGAAAGAAAGACTAATTTGACTGCAGCTTTCTGAGGTGTATAAAGGAGCCGTGCTATGGAGGCGCTAGCGGAATCAGTGGCAACAGGACTCGTAAAGGTCTTATTTGCCTTTTGAAATTCTTGGTTGGAGTCTCCAAGAACAGGAATTAACCAGGTTAATCTGAGAAAGTGACTTGCTTCTTGGAGGAGTCTCTGTGCCCTGGTTCCCAAAATAGAGAGGGTTTTGTATCCGTTGTGGGTTTTGTTCACGCGTTGTAAGTCCATCCTTTTTAAGATGCGTAATAAAACAATATAATTAGATTTTACGTCTCAAGTAGGAAATCCAGTTTATATCAGAATGCTCTTCAACAGTGAGAATTTTATGATTCGGCAAATTCAGTGTTTTTTCCATGCTCAATTAACTGCCTTTAATCTGTTCTGGTGTTCCAGTGTTGGTATAATAAGCAAAGCAAATATAGTTTGAATGCTTGAATCAAAGCGAACGCCATCGATTTCAAACCATCATCCCATTGCTTTCGGTTCTGTGATTCATCCTTTGGTATACCTTTATTCCGTAAAACAAAACTGTCTTGCACTGCGATGAAACACGAGAAACGCTTTGAGAGTAAACCACGGTAGGAGTTTGCTTGTTTAAATACCATCTGTTAGCTGTCCAGAGCCGTCCTCCCACACGGCGCTCGCTCATTTCTGTTATCATTGCTTTTTGGTGGTGGGATCGTAGCTTCTCAGCGATGCTCACAAATCTCTGTCACCTCACTCCTCCTTCCTCCTAGGTGTGATTGTAAAGAGGAACCTCTTGTTATTTCCGGTGACACATAAAGCAGCGGTTGCTGTGACTCACTGAGCCTTTGCTCTTCTTTTAGAGCCTCTCTGAGTAACATCGTAAGTTGTACACCAGGGTCTCAAATATTGCCGTGCTTTAGAAATTATTTGTGCTTTAAGTTTGTTCTGGCTTACATAATTGGTCATATTTTAATCGTATAAACTCTGGTTTTACCTACTTTGATAGTTTAGGTTCCTTTGTGTGGGAAAGCTGTAAAAATAAGCTCTTGCCAGACTCTCTGTGTGCAAATTCAAACTTTTCCTGTTTTCTTCGGAGCTGTTTCCTCCTTGCTGTCATATGCATGTGGGAACATGTGCACGGTTGAGGAAGTTAAGTAATTTGGGCTCCTTCAAACCTATTCTGACCTAAGCTGCAGTTTAAACGAAAATTAGTTTTGCATTTAAAATATCTGTGTGCATTTGGCTCTCACGTATTTAGGAGTGGATGGAGGGGAAATGGAGAACAAGGCTGTACTTGCTGTTAGTAGGAGAGATTTTTCAGGAATATACACAATACAAAAGTCTTGCCTTGACCCAGCTGAAGGGAAAATCTAGCATGCCTTGTCAGCGTGCAGCTTCCCTGCAGCTCCTCTTCTCCAGAGGAACTTCTAGAGTGAAAACAAAGATGAGAAAATATGAGATCTTGACTGGATTTTTCTTTTTTTCTAGCAAGCAGGATGTGAACAACCTACGTTTTCAATGATCTGCAGCACTTTATGCCCTGGTGTCACAACCAGCGGGAGTCCTAAGGATTCCTGTCCATTCACTTGGTCTCCAGATGTGTCCTAACTAAGATGTCATGCAACTGCATATGATCTATTGGGTTTTTCTTCTGGTTCTTGATGTACTTTGTATTCCAGTGAGCATCCACAACCCCTTACAGAGCTGTTGTCAGATGATCTCTTAGCGTTGGTGATGTTAGTTGCATGGAGTTTGGCAGGAGGTTCACCTCCCTTAGTTTAGACATCTAGAGGTCATCTGGACTTCTGGGATTCATGAACAGTTGTTGGGAACCTCCAAAGAGCAATTCGGTTCCTCCTGTCCTAAATAAGACCATTTAGGTGCTGGTCACTCCACCTCATTGCCCTTCTGAGCGGATCTGGTTTGGGATTTGTCTTGATTTTGCATCATAGAAGAAGTTTGGATGCTATCTTAGACAGGATGCATTGATTTAGACAGGTAACGAATCTCGTTCAGGATGCTCAACAAGGATTATCTTAGCAATACGTGACAGCTTATACGACCACGAACCTGAGAGACGAAAGAGTAACAGAAGGGAAAACAGAAAATATCTTCACAGGAAGGCAGGGAACTCGAATTCCTGAATTTGGCTGAGTTACCAGTTCCTTCTGGTTATCGTTTTTATAAAGATAACTTTCTGAATGCTTCATGGACCGTTCCAGCCGTGTGTGACGTTCCTCCAAAGCACTAGTGACAGCTTTCTGATGAGTGCAGCACAGCGTTGCAGGGCAGCTTAGCCGCAGCCGTACAGCACACAACTCGAACTTCCCTTCAGCCTCACTTTTTGCACCGTGGAACAAGTAATCCCTTCAGATTTATATTTGCATATTGCTTTCTTCAGGCTTTTTTTGTGCCAAGTGCTTATGGTAGTTAATTATTAGTCGATAATAACTGTATTTGTCTTTGCACGTCTTCCCCTTGGTCAGAGGTGAAGTTGTTGGATGCAGCAAACCATCAGGAGTTCTTCTTGTTGGTCAGAGAGAAAGGATGGGGAATGTCCAGGGATCTTATTTAGGACAAAAAGGAAATAAAATGTAGTAAAGTATGGCGATCTAATTGGGTAGATCTGAAAGGGTACGAGCTTTTCTGAAGTTTGAACAGTCTTTGCCACTTACATATTGCTTTGGTCTTGCTTCCTGTAACGCTTTGCTTTGAGAGGAGCTTCTTGTTTCTTCAGTGTGGAGGTACAGTTGGTGCTGTTGGTGCAGGCAATCGACGCCCCAACCTCCAAGCAGATCTAATGCCCATTTGCACTCAGAAACTCATCCCGGGAGGTTAAAAGCAATACAAGTATCTGCGGGAAGAGGGATGGATTCCTTCCCTACA